CCCCCCCCCGGTCTAACCCACCAGCCCCCACTCCCCTCCTAGAGCCAGGGAGAGAACCCAGGAGTCCTGGCTCCCAGCCCCCCGGCTCTCAGAGCACTCACCGAGGTGTGGGACCAGTAGGAATAATCGAAGGTGAAGTTTTTGGGAGCATCTTTTGTCAGCTTGGGATTGGTGATACCTGTGGGGAGACAGAGCATGGGGTGAGCAAGCAGTCGGGGCCCACATCCGGCCAGCACCCCCCAGGGCCCTGCCGCCCCCCGCCGAGATCGGGAACCCGCCTCGTGCCGGGCGCGTCGCAGACTCGGGGCAAGACGCAGCTCCTGCTCTGAAGAGATGAGACCGTAAAGAAACATTCCCAGTTTTCCACTGGGAACCAGGACGCCTGGGGTCTCTCCCAGCTCTGGGAGGGGAGTGGGGGTTGGTGGTTAGAGCAGGGGGGGCTGGGAGCCGGACTCCTGGGTTCTCTCCTTGGCTCTGGGAGGGCAGTGGGGGCTGGTGGGTTAAAGCATGGGGGCTGGGAGTCAGGACTCCTGGGTTCTCTCCCCGGCTCTGGGAGGGGAGTGGGGGCTGGTGGTTAGAGCAGGTGGGACTGGGAGCCAGAACTCCTGGGTTCTCTCCCTGGCTCTGGGAGGGCAGTGGGGGCTGGTGGGTTAGAGCAGGGGGGGCTGGGAGCCGGACTCCTGGGTTCTCTCCCGGCTCTGGCAGGGGAGTGGGAGCTGGTGGGTTAGAGCAGAGGGGGCTGGGAGCCAGGACTCCTGGGTTCTCTCCCCAGCTCTGGGAGGGGAGTGGGGTCTGATGGGTTAGAGCAGGGGGGCTGGGAGCCAGGACTCCTGGGTTCTCTCCCCGGCTCTGGGAGGGCAGCAAGCTCTAGGCCAAACCCAGGCAGAGTCTGAGCAGCGAACAGGGAGCAGGGCGCAGACCCTGGCATCCCCCTTTTAAGCTGTCTGGGCCCCGGCTCTGACGTGGGGCCAGCTCTTGCCAGTACACGGCTGCCTTTAAAAGGCCTCCCAGCTCCCCGGGCCGGCTGAGTGACGGCTTGGCAGCTCCCGGGACCATAACAAGTTGAGGACGTTCCGGCTATATTTAGCCGGCATGCAGTCCCACGGCAGCTGGTCCTGCCGGATGCCAGCCCGGGGAAGGGTGCTCCGAGGTTGCTCCCCCAGCCTCGGTGCTACAGGGCTCCAGCTCCTGGAGTCCCGCCACACCCGCAGGGTCCTGTCTTTTTCAATGAAGGGTTTCTAAGCCCTCGTGGTTGTGAGGAAAAGCGCAAAATGGGACCTGACGCGTGCCTGAGTCTGCCGAGAGCCTGAGCCCATTGCTCGGCAAGGAAGGAGTGCAATCCACACAGCAACGTTGCCTGAGTCTGCCGAGATCCTGAGCCCATTACTGCGAGGGAGGGGGAGAGTGGGGTCTGGTGGCTTAGAGCAGGGGGGGCTGGGAGCCAGGACTCCTGGATGTCTCCAAGCCAGCATGGCCTGTAGGGGTCTCTGACACACAGACACCCCACCGCCACATCACGCAACCGGGGACATGCCCCGCTCGGAGATCCCCCCACGCCCGCTCCGAGAGCACACGCCCTGCGCTCCACAGTCAGCCTGGGAGAAGCACTCTCCCTTCTGCACCCTTTCCACCTTCCCTGTTACCAGCTCTTTTCATTCCCATCCTTGCGCTAGGGGATTGGTAAAGCCCCAGCTGCTGGAGTCATGGGAATTACAGGGTGGTCTCTGCTTCCCTTTTAGCAAAGAGATCGAGAGTCTCTTGTTCTCACGGGGGCAGAGCGAAGCTCGTAAGTGTCACCCTCCTACAGGCTCAGGAGCAAAAGGGAAATTTAACCCCCCCCCCTCATTAATTAGTTTTTAGGATCTGGATTCTTCAGCCAGTCTAACGAGAGGGGCCTTTCCGGACTTCACCCTTAAACCTTTCGCTCTGCCACGGACCCTGCACTTCCGGGCCTCAGTTTCCCTCCCCGACGTAGCATGGGAAGAAGTGAGAGCGTCTGAGGCCAGAAGGAACGGGCGCAGTCTGACCTCCTGTATGGCCCACGGGGCCAGAGAACCTCACCCGGGGGGTTGGGCAGGAAACCCGGCACTCCTGCCCGAGCTAGAGAGAGGCTTTTAGAAAGAAGAGCCCAACCACTCCCTCCTCCCCAGTGGGGTCCCTCGGTGTTACCCGAGGGCGGAGAGCTGTTGTATTTGGTACCCCGACCCCGCTGGTTTTCCATTTCGCCTTTTTAAGGACTGGGAATTATTTGGGGTTGGGAGAGGCCACTTCCTTCCGGCAGGCCCCTCAGACAAGACCGAAACTCTAATTTGCCCGGGACTTAATTTCGGGGGAGCTCTGGGGGCAGACTACCCGATCCCGCGGCTCAAGAACCGATGCTAGCTGGTGGAGAGAGCGGAGCAGGAAGCCAACGTTCACGCTGCTTGTGACAGATCCCACCAAATAACTTACACTGCAAAAAAAAAAAAAAAACAACCCAAAACAAAAAAACCACCCCACAACCCCAGCATGTCTCCAAGCGCTCAACACTTGCTCGCACACGGGGAATTTATAAGATTACGCAGCAGCGCCATCTTGTGGCTGATTTATGTTCCTTGGGGGTGGCGCTGTCGGCTTCGCTCTCTCCTACCAGCGTGGCCGGGGCTGTACGAACGCCCCGCGTGACAGAGACGCTGGCGGCAGACAGGCAGGGGGTTAACCAGAGGCAGCTGCCCAGAGCTGGGTTAAACCGTGGGTTTCCCCCCGGCCACCCCAAGATTAATCCTACGCTGCCCGGTACAAGGATTTAAACACTAACCCGGCTCCAATCCACTCCCCCCTCGGCGCAAGGGGCGTTGATCCGGCGCCCACTGCACTCTGGGTTTTCGTTCCCCGCTTCCCAGGGCCCACAGCAAGTAGGGCAGGTGGGAGCAGCCCGGGGGCTGCTCTAACACACGCCCGAGGTTGGCGGGGGCGCAGAAGGTAGGTGCGGTCATGCCGCCGTCTCAGGAACGGAGTAGTGGGAGCCAGGGCCGGTATAACCGGAGAGACAGCCGCTTGCGACGCCAGGGTCAGAGCGTGCCGAGTCCCTTCCAGGGAATTCGGGGCAGGTCCATGTTCCCGGGCAGGAGAGAAGCAGAACACAGATACCAAACCATTCCCAGGTCTCTGCCAATCTGACCCAGGGACAAGTCCATCCCCGCCCCGAACGTTAGACCCACCTGCCTGGCACCCCAAATCACTGGCCCAGGCCTGCTACTTCAGAGGAAGGAGAAGAAAGCCCAGGGACGTCCGGGCGATCGGGGTGGAGGGTGGAGAGAGAATCTCCTTTCCTGACTTCTGCAGCCCAGGAGAATGATCCCCAAGCCCCAAGTTGTGGCAGTTCTGTTTGGGGAAACTGAGGCAGGCAGACCCTATTTTAGCCAAGCCCTGCCAAGCATGGAATCCAGTGATGCACCCGAAAAGCCAGCCCTGCCGGCCTCCGGCCCGATCCTGCCCCACCCTCCCAGGGGTACTTACAGGTGGTTTTCCCTTGCATCTGGATGACGCATTTCGCGTCCCGGCTGATTTCCCGGGAGCTGAAAGGCCGAACCCTTACGGCCACTTTGACGGAGGCGCCGGACATGGCGGCTCGCCCGGAACCCTCAGCGCTCGCCGCCAGAGATCATGGGGCCGTCCTGTGAGAGAGAGGAAGAGACGCAAACCGTTACCACGGAGCCGCCAACCAAACGCACCCCCCAGTCCCCGCCGCAAAGCGGTGACCAGTAAAGTCACGAGGCCACCGGCTCTCCCCACGCTGGGGCTGGGAGGGCGCCCTGGGGCAAGCTGGTGAGCTTGGTGACCACGCACGAGCGACCTTCCCCGCCCCCGTGCCTCAGTTTCCCCACCTGTACCCCATAACGCTTTGAGGTCTGCCGATAAAAGTGCCCGAGGGATTCTCATCGCGGGGGAGGGCAGGGGGAGCCGGAACGAAAGGGACTTGCTAAAGCCCGGAGGAGAGGACGCCGGGTCCTAGCAGGGAGCTGGGCAGGGCTTGTTTGTACAGAGTTCGAACCAGGCCTTAAGTTCATGCAGGACCCACCCTGTTGCTAGCAGTCAACCCGCTAGGAAGGGGAAGCTCCCCCCCCATCCCACCCCCCACCCCAAAAAAAAAAAAATGCAGAGCCAGGCCAGGCCTGCCTCTGGCAGCGGCTGGAGACGGTGGGAGGAGGGTGTCAACGCAGCAGGGCCCAAGCACTAGACAATGGAGCTGTGTCCGCGGCCACAGGAAACCCGGCAACATAAGGGCCCAGCGTAAAGAGAAGAGAGACTCAAAGGAGAGCGTGTTCCCGCTGACATGTCCCACCGCACCCAGTTCCTGCGGTACCCCCCTTTTCCAACCCACAGCTGGGGAGAGAGCCCAGGAGTCCTGGCTCCCAGCCCCCCCTGCTCTAACCCACCAGTCCCCACTCCCCTCCCAGAGCCAGGGAGAGAACCCAGGCGTCCTGGCTCCCAGCCCCCCCTGCTCTAAGCCACCAGTCCCCACTCCCCTCCCAGAGCCAGGGAGAGAACCCAGGTGTCCTGGCTCCCAGCCCCCCCCGCTCTAACCCACCAGTCCCCACTCCCCTTCCAGAGCCGGGGAGAGAGCCCAGGAGTCCTGGCTCCCAGCCCCCCTGCTCTAACCCACCAGTCCCCACTCCCCTTCCAGAGCCGGGGAGAGAACCCAGGAGTCCTGGCTACCAGCCCCCCTGCTCTAACCCACCAGCCTCCCCTCCCAGCTTTTAAGACTCCTGAGGTTCCCATGATCACCCCGAAAGGCTGAAGGTGGCCAGCGTGTCAGCAGGGGGCGCTGTAGCAAGGAAGGTAAATCACTGATGACCCCTTGGTCTGTGAAGGACCCCAGGGCCGAGTGGATTCCCTTATGGAAATCCTACAGCCTACCCCAAGCGAAGCTACGAGAGGAAAAGGCAGGTGCGTGTCCTGCCTTCACATGGGGACTGGAAACATCTGGATCCTAATCCCATGGCTAACATCAATTCCACCCGCCCTCCGCTGCAGCCTTCCTTCAAGTTCCCCAGGAGGCGACGCACAAGGCATTTCACCAACGTTGGCGTGAGGCGAAGCAACGGGTCACTGCCCCGTGAGATGCGCAGCGCGGGTGGGAAATCAGCCCATCGGCTCGGAACACAAGCATCGTTTTTAAACACGGCGACAGAGTCCCCACGCGGACGGAAGACTCACGGGCCTGGAGTCACCCAATGCTGCCTCCGGCCACCTGTCGTACTGTCCTCTTCGCAAACTCCGCCCTCAAACCTTTCGCCTCAGTGGATCCTGTCCCTCCCTTGGATTCCCCTTTGGCACCCCACAGAATTAACGAGGGTTCAGAGAACTGTTAGGGGCCCGGACAAACTCTATGACGAGAGATTGGGGTCACACACCTTAGGGAGGAGACAGGATAACAGGCTATAAAATACCGACTGAGATGGAAAAGGCAGACCGGTTCTCTCCGTCTCTTAACACAAGAGGCAAGGGGCTGTCCACCGGAATTGAAAAGGTAACAACTTCAGGACTGTGACCAAAGGAAATGCTTTTCCCCCCCCGACAACACACCGTTTGCCTGTGGGACTCACTGCCTCAGGATACCGCTGAGGCAGAGAACGTAGCCAGAATCAAACAGAGGATCGGAGGTTTATCTGGAATTGCCCGAGTTGTGACGGTTAATGGGGAGAGGATTAGACTTTGGGCTTCAGGTCTGGAGCTGCTCCCTAACCGTTTGAGATTAGGATGAGACCTATGGGGGAACAGGGCACGGTTACCGCGGCGTTCTTACACTTTGCTCTCTGAAGCATTGAGTATTACAGACGCGACGCTGGATGGATGGACCCGGGGCGCTGCCTAGCTGGATCTCAGCGACTCCCAGAAGCCTCACGGTCGTCATGCTTTTCCTCGGATTTTTTTTTTATCAAATGCTTTTTGAGGGGAAAAAAACCCCTATCTGAAGATAGTTTTAATTAAGATACATGATAGCTCAAAGATATCTCATCATGGAATAGGGATTATAAATTCTAATTCTAGAGTATGAGACAATATATTCATGTAACGTTTAAGAAAAGTTTTGTAAATGAGTCTGAATAGTTCATGGATTAGGGACCCAATCTTATGGGGTTCCAGGGGCTTCTGTATAGATGATTTAGGTTAATCTTTCTATCTGCCCAATGGGACTCAGTGCTCAGTCTAGAAGATACCATCAGAGATGCTTAGTTTTGTAGTTCTCCAACTGGATTTGTGTCTCCAGAGGTAACATGCTTGTTAACAGCAAAAATGTTTTTAAGTAAATAATTAATATATAGAGGTGAGAAATAACAGACCTCAACTCTAGTGTCCCTGTGCAAATGTGTGTACACAGACTCAATCCCTCTCTCTAAAAGTGCAAAGTTTCAAAAAGTTCAATGAATAGAAGATTGTGGGGGCAGAATAGATCTGGACAAGGAGAAGTCGTCTGCAGATAAATGTGAGAAGCGAGGGACATGTGCTTTTTTGTTAAAATATTATGTTTGCTGTTGAAGAAAAAAAACAGAATACTTAACGTTGTTGTTTTAGTTAAATAAAACAATTGAAATGTCTGTCTGGTGATGTTCTCCTCCTAATATAGCCTGGCAAGAAAATCCTCCAAATACTAATGATTAACCTGTTGAATTGGAGATAGTTCACCTCCCAGTGACTTCATAAATATCTGCTTCAATTACCTTTGGTAAATGAAATGAGCAATCATTCATTTTCTGATATAGCTGTAAAACTCATCTGAGAAGTTTTCAACATAAATCACCGTTTAAAAATGTAGAGTGGGTACCTTCTACAAATGAACCTACATCTATCTCGGAGTTGTGAAGAATATGTATTAAGGTGATCACAACCAACCAGAATGCACTTTTACGTAGCAATCCATGCGTAAATCCAGTCTTCCTCACTAGTGATTTAAATCAGGATTTAAATGAATTTAACTTGTCTTGTGCTAATCCGCCGGCCTCTCGCTCGGTCATCACCTGCTCCGCATAGGGATGCTTCAAAAAGTACCTTGTGGGATACCACAGACAAGAAATCACGAGCCCAGATGCCTAAGGGATGGGCAGCAAATAATAATGATATACGCAGAGCTGGTGGCCCGGCGTATTACTAAGATTACTCAACACTTCCCAGGAGAAGATCCTGTTTTCAGTCGATTAACATTTGGCAAAGCGAGCGTCGTCTTCGGGGACGTTTTCCCATATGCCAGGAGTCCGCTTTAGGCTGCGTTTTGCCGGGAAATTTCAGCCAAACCCGATTCAGCTGTTTCTGAGAACGAAGCTAGTTAAGTTCTGACGATTTTTCTTCCGAACAGCTCTCGCGGCCCTCCTGCTTTGGAGCAGGGACCTCGAATGTAGCAGGGAGGGCGGCCTTTGTCTCAGGACGTCCCTTTTTCATCCCTGTAAAAATCCACTCCAAGTGGGGCAAGCTATAAGCCTTTGCATGGTACAGACTGCCTCCATCCCTCCCTCACTCTGCCCCGGTAGCATTTTTCAGACATGACCTCAGGGGTCCTGGTTAAAGGGCCAGCAGCATACACGTCTCTTCAAAAAAAGAAGGAAGTGGGCATAATGAAGTCTTTATTCCCCCAAGCGCTGGTCTGGGACGCTGAATAGTGGGACAGCGGCCGGAGGGGCAAGGATGTGTTCTCCCTTGCCAAATTGTCAGACTCAACAAAATCCAGTGGCGGTTAGTTCCACAGGACAACGGGGGAGAGTATTTCCTTTGATCTGTGCTGAATTTACCAGCTTTTCAATTTCATCTCCTACTCCCTTCTTCTTGTGCTACGAAGCTCCCCTTCTACCGTCTCTCACCCGTTTATCACCTTATAGACGCCCCCTTCCTGGAGCAAGCAAACCCCCAATCTTTTTGTGCTTTCCTGATCGTCTTCATCACTCGTCTCTGAGCCCCTGTTCTAAGTCTGCCCCCGGCCTTTTGGAGACTGGATTCAAAACGACCGATTTCTAGAACGGCTTCAGATTTTCCTGTATTCTTCTTCAACTCTCACGCTCCTTTGCCTCAGTTTCCCCACCTGTAAACTGGAGGGGCGGGATAACTCCTTGGAGGGTCCTCGCCCCAACACCCAGCGCAAGTGACAAACGTACATCAACGCGGGGTACCCCCTCATCTTCCTACCGCCTTCCACGTGCCCCATGAATGGGCACGGAGCTACCGGGTGATCCCCCTTCCAAATGCTCCTCCACTGGGATGCCTCCCAAAAAGCTCAGAGTCAGCGGTCTCGGCACAATCACAGAAATTTCACGCTGGAAGGGACCTCGAGAGGTCACCCTGGCCAGCCCCCAGCCCTAAGACAGGACCAAGGAAATGTACAGCGTCCCCAATGGAGAAGGCACCTCGACTCCCAGTCAATTGTTTCAGGGGTTAATTACCGCCACTGTTAGACAATGACGCCTTATTACTGGTCTGAATTTGTCTGGCTTCAAAATCCCGGCCCTCGGATCGGGTCCTGCCTGTCTCTGCTAGCTTGAAGAGCAGGTTGTTAAATATCCTAAAATGTCAAGCCACCGCAGCAGCCGCGGCATCTCCTCCCCGCTGGGCACAGAATCTCGGCCCAAGAGCTTGGGGCGGTGCGTTACCAGTTTGCCGAGCCATCGCGCTCGGGAGCGGAACACAACG